ATTTAAATTATTTAGTAATTTTGAATAGCAAAACGTGTTAGTATCACCGAACCTTCGGAAGCGACGCCAGGAAGTGTGAACCCGGTTGCAAGTACCTAAAGAAGAGGTTGTCAAAAAATTTCCCCGACAGGCCGTAAAGGCGACTACTGACCCTGACTATTTTGATAGTCGCCTCCTCCATGTTACGGACAGGAATTCGTGATACAGATTACTGATTGACACCGGGCCAGAGATCAGCGTTATCCCTCGTTCCGGAAATTTCCTCTTAGCGGCCAACAACACAAGGATTCTTACCTACGACCAGCAGTTCCTCAATCTCGGTTTAGGACCTCGCTGGAATAAAGTCGAAACTGTGAGAAACTTCATCAATGACCAATAGAAATCCTGCTGCAGAACACTACTCAGAGATATTTACCTATTAATGTTCACGCGAATTATGCTAGATTTATCTGATAACTGATCGTTTTGCCAAAATCACAATTCGCTATCAATATACGTACTGAATAAACGTATTTCCTGCTACACGTCTGTTTCCTTTGTAACTTTGTCTTAGCTTAGCTAATTCCCGGGACTTTCGAGTTGGAAGAAACTGCTATAGAGCTTTCTGAGAATAGTCAAAGTTATTGAGGTAGCTAATCCGCTACAAAACAATATACCTCCATGAGAGTTCAGTTAAATGTGACTAATTTTTTTTCTTTTTAAATTTTATATATCATCTGTTAACACTTGCCAAGACTATTAAAATCTATTTGCTAATTGTAAACTAACATCTGCTTTACTAACGCAGTAAGCCCACTTATTTTTACATCTTGCCGAATATTAAGACTGCTTGTCATTATTACACTGAATTTTTAATTGGGTTACTCTTTAGAGATTTCAAAACTGCTTAGCAGGGTACTTGAAAGATTGTTGACAGAAATTGAAGTTTTTCCCGCCAAATTTGAAGCCAAAATCTAAAACCACAGGTTCTTCTTAATCTCTTAAAGTTAAACTCAATCTCTCTTTCAATTTTTTTCTCCGTTGAGGCGGCCAATTAAGATAGTAATACTGCATCCATCATTTATAAAATCGTTCATGTCTGAAGTCGTTTCACCACGACGATTTTTAAGAACCGATCTTGCTCAAGTAATAACCATTTCCAAACGCCATTGCGTCATCTCCCGATAATCGAATGAGCCCCTAAAGTGAATGGAACATGCTGTGTACTTCACCTCCTCCAGAGATCATACATTGTTCACCGTTACTAAGTCCCCAAGGTGTCTTGAGCAGCTTGACCATATTTGAACCAATCACATTCTCGTTTGCTATCTTTAAATACTTTTCCTTGAGGACAATAAATGAGAAACAATGTAAGAAATCAATCCTCCTAAACCTCTTTCGCATTATATGGGAAAGAGAAAAAAATCAGGCGGGCTGAATATACTCTCAAATTGAATCATAATGGTTTCAGGGCGATTTCAGCCTTCCTGGAATCTTTCGATGAATCTCCTACAGAGTCGTGTTTAACTTATATTCACCTGCAGATTCACCCTGTCAGCCTGTCACAAATTATATTTTCATCAGCAGTCTCCACCAGGTACTCACCAATCATGACAGATTTAAAGCTAGTGTGTCCAATAATGCCATTTGCTTTAAGTACTTTGAAGCTTGAGGAGTTTGTCGTAATCTAAATGTTGCGTTTTTAAAAAGAACCCACTATTCTTAACCAATGATTTAGTTTGATTTTCTCAATTTTTGTCACATCTACAAAAGGAGTTTTTCGATTTAAGGAAAAATAGAGCTTAGTGGTTTATTGCAAACATAGAAATACCATGGAAGTAATTGATCCATCTAAACTTAAGTTCTACTCTGTAATCTTATGTGTAACATTAAAAAAATCAATATTTATTTCTCAGGGTGTGCGGTAGATTTGGCAACGTATACTCATACGGCAATAAAGTCTATAAACCAACAGCTGACTTCAAACTACCATGACTCCACTTCCACTACTTCCATAATACTCACCTCACCTTTGTGTCCGTCGACCTCTTTTGCGCCTTTGAATCAATTTTCTGTTTCCCCTATCCACTATTTGTGACTTTGTCTGTTCCTCCCCTCTGTAAAGCCCGAAGTCAACAAAAGGGCTAATGATAACTATTATAAAGCCTGCCATTTGATATGAACAAATATCAATTTTCCTTCGACATATAGGTGTGCTAATTCATTTCAATCCCCATTTTGCAGCTCATGGTAACAAATTAAAGAAATAAAATCGAAAATTCACATTCTCTTACTATACGCAACATTTTAGCCATATCACATTTGTTTATTAATTGCGCAAAAGAATGGTATTTCAACCAAATACAATACGACCTCATAGTTAAGATTACCTTGTAGTGGATTGATACACTAACAGGCCTTGGCTATGCTCAGTAATTTTTGTGGCAGATTCTTCTGGTTTGGGAAGGCCCTTAGAATTAGCTCAAATTGTCTCAAATCTGTGAGGAAACAGACGTATGACGTGGAATACGTGGTATGCAACAGACAATGGAGGGTTTGCTAAACCATGCGAGAATTATTGATTGGTGGTTGACTGGGTGTTCTTTACTCCCACAACCGCACTTACCCCCTACACGAAGTAGCACGCCGCACTTTCGAACCTGTCTGGGTGCGCTGAGAATCCTTTGTTCAGCGTTGACGGCGTTATCTGTTCCACAGTCTTAAGGTGAATATGTGATCTTTTTGAGTTATGGAATTTGCTACCAGTCTGAAGAAGAAGTTATAGTTAATAAATATTTACTCCTTCAGGATGACCTTAAATCATATCCTTGTCTCTACTTGGTCCCAGAAAAAGGCGCGAATCTTTGAAAATCATTTCCATCGATTCCCAGATGGTATGAGTTCGTCAGTTCTTACTGAACCTTTGAAAGAAGAGATCAAGATTATTATTTGCGTAAAAGATTATTGGGCATAGTTCATTTTCTCTTACTTCTACGGAGTCCTACTCAACTCACCTAACAATTTTAGCGTTATTTCTGCATTGGCAGACAAATTCATCCATTATGGGGACAATTGCATATTCAGTCTGTATGAATATCAAAGGCAAGCAAAGGTGACTAACAAGTTTCTTTATCAGGACTTGAACTAGCTTTTACTTGGAGCATAAAAGGCGTTAACGCTAAGAGAATTATCTTTATGATAGAAACCAATCAGGTTGAAGAAACTTCGATTTTCCTATCATAGAATTATGAGCTATTCAGTGACAAGGTCAATACCACCGATTGGGGTTGAGTTTGGTAATTTGTCTAGAACCATTTATCACAAAGGCGTTGGTAGCTGCAGTCCGTGAGATAAAGGTTAGTTTAGTTTCAGTCAATTCTGTACAATGAAATTTAATCATGATAAGACCTAAAATTCCAAAGCCCGAGCTTTGGATTTCTGGTCCCATCAAAACTTTGATTCATTTTTTGATCAATACGTTCTTAGAACATAAGGAAATCAACATGGGATGACAACGGTCAAAACCCTCTCTCAAATAACTATTACTACTGATTATAATTAGGTAGAAATTTAGAAGTGCAAGTCAAGCTCTTACAATCTAACTCTTGATTCCAAATCCAACTCATAACTGGCTCAAAATGAATTGAATGGAGCCTTATTTGATGGCCCCAGTTTCGATAATTAGTTTCACGGAGTGTGCGATAGACTTACTTCCACATGGTGCACCCTGGCCAACGTATACTCATACGCCAAAAAGTCTATCAATTGGCAACTGACTTCTGCCTTCAAACTACCATCACCCCACTGTATGTCATATTCGGCTACTTCCCCAGTACTCTCCTCACCTCTTTTATACCTATGTATCTGCTTCTTTCAAATCTTTGAAACACTCTTCTGTTCCCCCCCCCCCTTCTTAATTTTTTTCACTCTGATGTTCCTTCCCCTCTGTGGAGCCTGAAGTCAACTAAAGGGTCAATGATAATTATCAAAACGCCTGCCATTTGATATAAATATATAATCAGTTTCACTTTGCTCACCCCTACTTTAAGAAGGAAATAGAGTTAAGTATTTGAAGGATTAAACCATACATCTTTACTCTAATTTGGTTAAAGCTAAAAGGCCTTAGCAACACAAATTTTCAATTAAATTAGTTACCAAAACTACTGCTCTTAATGTAATGGCATTTCAAAATTATTTTCACTAGAACATATTATACAGTTATTCAAAATTTCGTGGCAATCCTTCATAGTGTTATCTAAATTTTATTTCAAGAAAAATATTAAATGCAAAGGGCTACCATAAAAAGAAATTTTATTCTTTAAATCAATCGCTTTTTTGACTGACACTGTCGGAGATGGTCTCCACTTCGGTAGAGGGTTCGTGTGGTGAAAGTTCACCAGCAATGGTTGCGTTTCGTCTTCTGTTTCGTCTCAGCTCTTCAACCATATTGTTATATGATTCAACATTTCTTATCACTTCCGCCATTTCTGCTGCTAAATCTACCTCGAAGGTCGGTTCTGGTTTTCGCCAAAAGTAGAAGCACATTTGGATCTATACGACTCTAATAAGGATTTAATATCAACGAAATAGAATGAATTAATGTCGTAGAGACCCGGAACAAGAGTAAAATTAAAACTTTTATAAGCTCAGTTGATCGAACATCCGCCATTATTTTTAATTTGAAATTTGGACTAAATCTGTTTATCGGAGTTTAATAACGCTTTTATCACGTATAATGAAAATAAAAAACTGAATTTAAATCACCTGATCTAATGGGCTTAATGGGTTTAAAGTAGTATAAAATTGAATGATCTATATTACAGAAGACCGTGAGGTGGGTTTGTAGAGTACACAACCCGAACACGGTTAAACTAAACAGTCCGAACATTCTGGAACGTCCAGCCGTGTTGCCGAACACTTTGGTGATCAAATGAAGCCATGATTGCAGTGCACGTACCAAGGCCACATTTAATAATTAGTCTCCGAGCCAGTATTCCGAACACATATACATCAGAATCATAAACATATTATTTATTTATTTCAAACGGCAGGCATTTTGATAGTTATCATTAGCCCTTTAGTTGACTTCGGGCTTCACAGAAGGGAGGAACATGAAAGTGAGAAAAATTCGACATGGGAAAAGAAGAGCGTTTCGTAGATGTAAAAGAGACAGACGGACACAAAGGCAGAGAAAAGGCTAGATGAGTACTGTGGAAGGGGTCGAATATGATATACAGTGGGGTCATGGTTGTTTGAAGTGAGAAGTCAACTGCCGATTAATAGACTTTTTGGCCGCATGAGTATACGTTGCCCAGAGTGCACCACGTGGAGGTAGGTCTATCGCACACCCCAGAATCATAAACATCGCAATCCCAATATGCACATTCAGCGTCATACGTATTGTTTCTTCTATATTGTTGAGTTAGATAAGCTACCTTCGGGGGCCATTCTAGTGTAGGAGATTTTGCCATTGTGATTCTGAGGTTTAGTCAAGGCCTATTCTTAATGCAAGGTCTGAGTATAGATATGTTTTAAATAATTCAAACAGTTGTAGCGGATTGCTACTTTACTAAAGCCTGACTGACTCAGAAGTCTCTATGGCAGATTCTCCAACATCTAGCTAGCCTCCCAGAACCAGCTAAGCTATAGCCCAGCTATAAAAGGAAACAGACGTGTAGCACGGAGCACGTTTATTCAGTACGGGTATTGCGGATAAAGTGTGCACGCAGGGAGCTACTTATGATCAGGATGGAGGATTAGGTTAAAGAGGTTAATGAATGGTCACTGTTTGTACGGTCGCTGCACACAGAGTTGTACGGCCGCACCACCCAATCCTGCGAGCAGACATGCAGGCACACGATGACGCACACAGCGATAGCGTGTCCCACAATACTCCCCCCCCCCCTAGAGCGTTTGTAGGGAGCTGAAAGATAAAGAAAACGCTCGATAATCAGTTAAGGTACAAAAACAACTAGTTGGGAGGGGAAGGTAGATCTTAGGCCTTAGAATAACAGGGTTTTGGGTAGAGGTGGGCTATAGCTTAGCTGGTTCTGGGAGTCTAGCTAGATGCTGGAGAATCTGCCATAGAGATTTCTGAATCAGTCAGGCTGTACTAAGGTAGCAATCCGCTACACAGTAGAACTTTCTCTCTCTCCAAACTATATTGGTTAACTAAGATATGTACAATTTNTGAGTAAGTAATCAAGGATTATTGTGTTCTAAAATTAACACCAATTTCCGTTTTCTGGTCATCGATCCAATCTCGTCTTCCTTCCCGTGAATCCCTACGAACTAAGCCTGGCCACTTATTGAGCAACCAGTAGGAAAGTGAACAAACGCGGCTTACTCGAGTGAACCCCACGAACATCGTCGCCAGTTCATTTGTAATGTACTCACATCAATGCAAGCTAATCTAACTTACATGTTAAGGGGTGTGCGATAGACCTATCTCCACGTGGTGCACCCTGGCCAACGTATACTTATACGGAAAGTCTATCAACTGGCAGTTGACTTCTCACTTCAAACTACCATCACCCCACTGCATGTCATTTTCGACTCACATTTTTTCTACCTTTATGTCTATCTCTTTTACATCTTTGAAACGCTCTTCTGTTCCTCCCCCCCCTCTCGACTTTTTTCAACTTTGATGTTCCTCCTCCTCTCTGTGAAGCCTGAAGTCAACTAAATGGCTAATGATAACCATCAAGACGCCTGACATTTGATATAAATAAATAAAATTACTAGCTAAACATAATTTGAGCTGCAAATCCTCTCAATTATCCCCCCCCCCCTCCTCGGGGGTGTGAATAGAAGTAGCTTAATGAAAGTAAGCAAATAATTCATACAATGATTTAATTCCTAAGAAATAGTCATGAAAAGGACGATATCCCACTCCAAACATAGATATCCATATAGTTCAATAAAGTGAATAGACTCTTCTAGTGCAAAATTGAAAAGTCCAAAAATATGAAGTAAAATTAAGAGAAATTAAAAACGTTCAATGTTTGTTTATTACATTAATCAAAGTAAATCAAAGAGATATAAATCACTGCAGGTTCACGCGTCAAATCGATTTTATCCTTTCCAAAATATGCATCTCCTTCCAGACATTCTTAGTTTTGAAGAGGTGTGGCAAGAAGAAAGCTCGTTGGAATTTAGACAGCACTTTTTGCATTAGAGTATTTGTTGAACCTCCAATTGATTCAGCGCGTTCAAGGATAGGCCTAGTTAGCAGTATACGCCAAGTCTGAAAATCATCTGAATATTGAACCTCATTCTCACCAGGTTTCGATACACGATCCAGGATATAATCGCAAAGCGATATGTCAAAGAAAGTTCCCTGCTCGGGCAAATTCATGTCATTAAAATGACTACTTGGAACTCGTGTCGCATTAATTACGCCAACATTCTCATCAAATTTTCCCGGCAATTGTCCAGAGAAGTTGGAGCGAAGAAAATGCACTCGCCAAAGGTTATTCTCTTGGGGCAAAAGGAAATGACTCGGGAAAAGATGCCAATCACGACCAATGCACAGTGTTTTCGGGGTCGTTGGCTCAGGAAGGTGTTGAACAAGGAACATCGGGGCACTGTAGCCACTAGCAAGAGCAAGAATTCGCAAGAAGCTAAGTCCCACGAAAAAGACAAGAAGAGAAATTATAAAAACTACAGAAAATGGTAAGAGAATGGTCGATTTCGAGTTTAAATTAAAGAAAAGTGAGGTAATAATAAGAACAGCTAGTAATTCTAAACATGGAAAGCAGGGAAATAGAAAACGTTCCTCTTTATGAGATTGAGCAAAAAAGACAGCATTCCAAATGAGATATGGACTAATTGCAATTGATATTAGTTTGAAGATTTTTTGGTGATTTCTCTGAGCTCCCTTTCTTGAGGCCTTATACGCAATGTAGAGAAATACAGGAAGTGTGAAGATTGCAACGAAAACAATCAAAATATTGTAATTTAGGATATAGTTATTAACATAGTAAACGGCAGACTCAGTTCCGTATAGCTGAGAGAGACTTTTGTCTTTAAGTGCGCTAAGTGCATTATATGAAATTATGTTCCAAGTTGGGCAGATAAGTTTCCCATAATAGTAGCTGTCCACAACTAGCATTGGAGTAAGAAGGGCGACCGCCCAGAATGAAGAATATGCCAACAGTTTCACAACCGCCCCAGAAAACAACATGTAAATAGCCAAAGGAACACCAAGACAGGCTGAAAATGGCCACAATATAATAGCACTGAATGCAACAGTTCCAATACTAAGGAAGTACTGATTATTAAGCCAAGTGCTCAACATTAAAGAAGTAAGAGGTGCTGCAATAGCACTTGGAACAATAGAAGAAGCAGAAATAAAGTTTCCAGCAGCTGCGGAATGGAAAATACAAAAGAGAATTCCAAATGTGCGCTCTTTGAAGACATTATCAGGGTAGAGATAAAACGAACTAGAGCCAGCTAATCCAGCTGCTGTAGAGGCAGATAGAAGCGATAAATACAATCGTATTAGAAGAAATTGAAGCCACCCAGGAACTCCAAAATATTCCAGCACATAAGCCGGCCATCCGATAAACCACAAATAGAGGTAGGAACGGAGGCCATATTCAGGAGAATATTCCCAAGTTTGAAAGCCTGTGTTATTTTCCTTGGAAATAATAAAGCCAAGCGGTTCTAAATAATTAAATGTCTCGTCGCAGTCATTGATATTATTCCACACTGTTGAACATATTGCGGCCAGCACACAAATCTTCAGGTAGAGGCGTTGCATAGCAGATAATTAGCAGCACCGCGTTTATTCATATTCACCGCAACGTTAAAGGTTCTTTCAAGGCTTTTATTTTTCAATTTATGGTAAACAAGTTTTGGGATTTGTGCTTTATTAATTCTGTAATGTGTAAAGCTTTACGGTGTATTTATATTTAAGTGTTTTTGATTCTGAATTAAATAAATAGCATAATAAACAAGTATAAATATGGTAATTTCTTCCTATTTTTCATTTTTTCATGATTATGAATTTGGATAGTGTTAGCTGGAAGTTGATTTTCTCATTTCGCTTTATTCTTACATAAATAGTTATGTAATGAAGATGTTTCGTATTTACTCATAAACATTCATAATTTGATCGATTTTTCAAAACATTTCTTTTTTTCAATCGAATCCTGTAAGTTAATAAACCAATTATACTTAAACTATGTAGATACAGGAAAATGTGTTAATATAAAATCGGCAAATATATTTCGATAAGCTTCTTGCTGCAAAATAGTAACATTTAACAACATTCAAAGTCCACCCGATTGATTGTGCTAGGTGTCTTCTGTCCAGTCACATTCGGTTCTAAAAACATTACTAATTTTATTGATAATAATTATACAAATAAATTTTCTTAAAAGCATCGCGAAACATACCAAACAGGTAATGGGATCTTTTCATTATTGTCGCTTGGAGATTTAACAACCTCACCGTTGGGGTCGACAGGATCGAATGTTAGTGACGGTAAAACCAGCCTCTCAGTGGGTACATTCCAAATATCCCTAGCGTATTCCTTAACAGCGCGATCGGACGAGAATTTGGTACTTCCCACTATATTCATCAAACACATTTTAGCCCATTTCAATTTATCCTTTAAGTGCAAAAGCAAATTCAGTAATTTGGTAAGTCTAAGGCTATTAGTTAAAAAATCAACACTTTACTTTAAATGCCTCTTCAATCGCAGCCTGTGCCTTGCAGTACTTTGAAAAATCAACACAAATTAGGTAATGATCAGAACCTGTGAGATCCTTATAAAGAACCTTGAAGCGATCCACATCCTCAGGATTGTAAAATCCTGATTTAATTTGCTCTAGTGCCTCACGCAATTCTGGGGACTGGCCAATGTATGCTTGAGGGTCATATCTAAGTTAATATAAAAGTTATTAGTAGTTTATCTGTCGGGTGTTTGATATCTTCCACTAATAGTGCCACAAGTAGTCTAAGAAAATTAACGCATACATCCCTTGAAACACTAACATTTTCTCGGTTATTTTCCGCCAAATATTTCTAAATTTTCCCAGTTTAGGTACTTCAAGCTCGGCACGCAGTTCTTCGCCTTCAACTGCGTGGCTCCTAATCTGCGTTAAATAGCCCGAGTTACATGTAAATAAACAGAATGTGTGCTAGACCTACCTCCATGTGGAGCACCTGGGCAGCGTATACTCATACGGCAAATAGTCTATAATCCGGCAGCTGACTTCAACTACCATGACCCAACCCTATGTCATATTTGACCAGTTCCACTTCTACAGTTTTTCACCTAACCTTAGCTTCTTCTCTACCCGTGTGTCTGTTACTTTTACATCTGTGCATAACTCTTCTGTCCCACCACTCGAATTTTTGTGCCTTTGATGTTCTTCCATCTGTGAAGACTGAAGTCAACTAAAGGACAAATGATAGCTCTCATAAAACCTGTCATCTGGTATAAGTAAATAAATAAATATATCTAAATATACTAAAACTGTACTATTACTCGATAAGTTAGTGCGTACTGTGTGATCGAGTGCTTGCAATCGTCTGATCCATTCACCTTATCTCTTATTCCAAACTATCTAGACCCCTTTTATGAACCCATATATCAGTCTGCTGTTTCTATCGCATCTCCATTCCACTTCATCTACAGTTTCACACTCACCCTCTTCTCTCTTAATAAACTCAACTCAATAATGTCTTTTCTTCCCTCGACAACTTAGTATCTTCGTGCTAATTGTAAAAGGTAGGACTTGTAATCAAACGAACAGTTAATAGCAAAATCTGATACCAAGACTGGCTTACCCTCTCCTTCTAAATTCTGCGACATCTTCAATGGTGTGACCGAAAGTAAAGTTGTTGTCTTGACCCGCTTCTTCTATTAATTCAGTATTGGTACCATCGATAGTACCAAGCATGGGAACACCGTTCATCTGAGAAAGAAAATTGGTTTTAGAGCTCAATTTGGATAATAAATAAAAGGAATAATACAACTTTTACCAAAAGGATTGAACAAAATATGCATATAGAAGGAATTGCTTTCAGTCACCAACGAATGTTCAATGTTCCTGAGAGTTTAGCAATTGATGGGGCAAATATTTGCATCAGTGAAGTCGTGTTTGACCTTCAAACATCAATACCGTACAGACAAACTATGCTTATATACATATATGTTCTCTATTGGATTAAAAAGGTTTTTGTGCTAATCGTAGTCCATAAACCAAGGTGCCAGAAACTCTAATTTCATTATTTGACATTTCAAACAAGAATAATTTTACAAAATTCGTCAAAATCATGAGAGATGATAATACAGCCATTTTGTGGTGATGATTAGGAAATTCGCGAAAGCGATACAATAGAGCATTAATTCAATTAGACAAGTGAGAAGAAAGCAATCAAACATTCTTGTTGCCTTAGACGAAATTATAAGTATTTGAACATAATTCTATAGCCTGATTCTTCGTTTCTAGTGGTGTTTTTTTCTGTGCTTAAAGTTCATTTACTGTTTTATAAGAGAACAAATAGACAAATAATTAATTCCATATTTCTAAGTCATCCATTTCTATAAAGGTGCCCAAGGGAAATTGGGGTTTGAGTAACAGCTCTGCACTCTTCTTCAAACTGAGTTTAGGAAAATTCACTTTACTCCAAGATATCACATCGTTGGGTGTTTTCTTTATTATAAAAATCGATTCTTGTTTTAGTTTCATGAGCGCAAAATGATTTTTACCCATGTGATCCAGATGCAAAAACCTAATTCAATAGTTTTTTTCACTTCCGTTCGATTTATTCTGTATTTCGATTCGTACCCTCTTAAAGTGTAAAATTAAATATGTTATATCTTAACCAAATCATTCTATTACAAAGAAGTAAATCAAGAAACCCCAAAATATCCTCTCTGTGTGAAATTCTTTATTTTTCACCTTCTAATTCTTGCCTCCTATGATTTTTTTCGTTTTATTGAACAAATTTCTTCAGACGATTTGCTTTACGTGTGTTTAAGCACGCTGTGCCATGCTTTTATTGGTTTGTATTAGTAAAAGATGCAATTATTCATCAAAAATTCAAATTTTGTATTAGCTGAACCCTAAGTTATAGGCAAATATGTTCAAATTTACCATGAATTTCATATTGCCAGTCCCGGATGCTTCCATACCAGGAGTTGAAATATGCTGGGAAATATCGGCGCCAGGAACAACATACTGGGCCATGGTTACTCCATAATTGGTAAGATAAACAACCTGTAAAGACAGAGTGCTTGAAGTAATTTGACATCAGATCAAGGAGGTAATTATTAATTCTTTACTTATTTTTCTTGTCTTTTGAAATTAATCTGTGGTATGACTATTCGCTTCATGCATTTTAAATTACCGTTTCGAATTTCAAATAGTAAATGAATGAGATGCTGGGTGAGAACACAGCTTCATTCGATTTTTGAAAATATTGCATAATATTTCATAGTGATTCAGAACCAGTAGAAGCAACTCAATTAGTTTTGGGGACGATTTAGTTCTCCCCAACATCTTCAATCCGTCTTACTACACAAATACGTCTGCTAATTTTAGTCATCACTCGAAGATTGTCATTTGATTTTTTTTGTAACTTTCCTGGTTGAAAAGAGTATTTTAAATTTATGCCCTTCTCTAGCTTTGATACTGGAGGATTTTTTATTCACTTTAAGTATTCATCACTTGCTAGGCCTCTGATTTTATTCCCCACCCCTCCCCTTTAAGTTCACATCTTTTGAGTTTAACTTAGCCTAATCAGCAATAACTTTTAGGCATCAAGGATTATTGATTATTACAAATGAAGTAATGATGCGAAAAACTCGCCTTCAGTTTTCCATTTGCATCAGGGTCGTTATTAACTTTTTTGGCAATACAATTGATCAGACTGATTATTAGCTTGGCTCGAGTGTAACCGAGCGCGCCTTTGCCACCTATCATCACGGTTCTTGGCACCATGTCAATTCGTGGGTTTCTTTTTATTCGATTGTACAGGGCAATAATGTGCAGAATATTCAGCAGCTGCCGTCTGTATTCATGAATTGGTTTCACCTAAGATAGTATAAGTCAAGTACATCAATAAGCTCAATGAGAATCATATTCCCTAATTAAAAAATGACATTAATGTCACATCCACGTTAAAGTGGCCTGATCTACAATTTGGTAACCCTGACAGGCAGCGCTCGATAATGGTTTACGATAATTACAATATGTCAAAAATGGCCCTGTAATATCTTACATAAGGAGACGGTCTATGTATGTGGAGATATATCAGACATTTGAGAATTTGCACGCCGGATAAAATTTTCATCTTATTATTAAATAGTGCTGATCCATTGGTTCAGTCAAAACAATAATCATTTATTTTCTTTTTTTATTCCTATGTAACGTATTTGGAAAATAACTTGATGAGTGCTCAAATGGAATTAGAGATTCTACGTAGTCATGGTCAGACGGTAAACAAATGTTTTCCCTTTCTATGGGGCATTTTTGCTCCATTTTCTCTCCTCACTTATTATACTCCTGGTCTTTTATCAATTGATTTCATTTAGTTTTAATATCCACATATGGATATTAGTCTAAGAAACCCGCAAATAATCTCATCAGTTTCACAAATCATTTTTATTAATATTAATATTAACAATAAAAATTGGATGCATTTACCTGAACATCGAACAGTGTATTTGGGTTGACTTCAACATTCAGAGTATGGAAGATGTAGTTTGCAAGTCTAACTTTATTTTGAAATTTAATCTAAAAAATATAAATAATGATTTATATTTCACTATTATATTATATTATTTAATAAAATGTGGCATTTTGACCAACGTGATAAAACGGTATCGAAAATATTAGCATAACTCGTGAACTTGTGGGAACGTCATCCGATAGAATCCACAAGCATCTGAATAGGCCGCGAGTAAACGCAGTAACAGCTTCAGCCACCTTTAATACACTTGCATAACAACTGAATATCCTCATAGAGCAGTTCAAAGAACTAAAATCACGTTTGTCCAGCTCCTCTCCTCGTTGCAACATACAGCAATCCGTTTCGCCTGGAGGACGTCGAAGTCCACCAAGAAACTTCAAGATTTGTTACTACCACCGCATATTCGGAGAAAATGCAAAAAAATGTTCCCCTTGGTGTTATTACCATAGTCTCAACGCCTTCCGTTGGGAAAATATTACGCCAGACAGTGAAAGCGACAACTGATCCTGGCAACTTCACCGGTTGCATACTATATGTAACTGGTAGAAATTCCAAACTTAAGTTCTTGGTTGACACCGGATCCGAAGTCAGCGATATTCATCGATCCGCAGAAAAACGATGTCTAAAAGCCATTGGAACTTCCCTTCTAACAGCCAACAATGCCCAAATCACTATCTAAGGACAACATTACTTAACCTTGATCTAGGCCCTCGTCGTGAGTTCCCATTTGTATTTCTGATCGCAGACGTCCGAAAGCCCATCATCGGTGCTGATTTATTTTCTAAGTTCCAACTGCTTGTCAATCTCAGAGACAGCGTGCTTCAGTATTATGTCACATATCTACAGGTGGTCAGCTCTAGAGAGGCCTTAGATTCTTTCGGTCCGAATGTTCTTGTCCCCGTAGATAACCTCTTCGCAAGCATCTTGTCAGAATATCTTTTCATCTTCCACCTTCAATCGGAGGTTTTGGAGCCAAAGCACACTATTCGACATCGCATAAATACCAAAGAGCAACCAGTTTTCGCTAGAACTTGGCGCCTGCATCCCAACCAACTACGTGGGGATAAGTAGGAATTCCAACATGTGGTAGTCTTAGGCATCGTTCGTCCTTCAAACAGTCCAGTCGCGAAAAAATGGTAACTGGAGACCACCGTGCCCTTAACTGGATTACCATCCCAGATCGTTATCCCATACCCCGCATCCTTTGTGAATAAACTTATTCCGTGCAATACGTCTGTTACCTCTATAATTAGGCTGTAGCTTATCTAGTTCTGGGAGTCTAGCTAGATATAAGCGAATCTGCCACATAGATTTCTGAGCCAATCAAGGCTTTGCTATCGTAGCAATATGCTGCAAACTTATTCTTACTAGAGTATAATTTAAGCAAGCCACTATTTTTCCAATTGAATAGCAATTTACTTCCTTAAGGCTTCAAGAATGTTAATAAATACAGGTATTTTATTTTTAATTTCGAGTTAATTTAAACTCCATTGATTAAAATTAGCTGGCATAAACTTCTTAGTAAGCTTCATAACTAAAATTGTCAGAGAACTTCCCATCAAAAACTGCATCTTAATTAACTTCATTGTTAACTAAGAGGTAAGTAAATTTCCACACTAATTTTAAAGATTAAAGAAGTACTGGGGGGGCTTACACTTATAAAATTTTTGAGAAAAGTTTCATCTTTGGCAAACTTCTTCAGACCTTTGAGTTTTTCTAAATTTATAACCCAATCCTCACCTAACTTCTCCGTCAATAAATTGGAGAGGGTGGGATTGCAGAGCTTGATCCATCGTCGAGGTGACACTCCGCTGGTGATGCTCTGGAATTTTGTCGGCCACAGTTGATAGAAGTCGTTGTACCTAAAGGAAATGCCAGTGTAGTGAGTTGCAAGTGTAGTAACAAACAAGCATTAATGATGATTTGAGGGACCTAACGTCGCTTTCCCCATTTAAAATACATTGTGAAAGGGGAGGATAAAGCATAGAAAGTATCCTAATTGAACGCCTTACCGTCTTAAATTCCTCTTATTTAAACAGTCTATTGGCCTTTGGTTCAAATAGAAAATGTTCTTTGACCTTAACTCTAGTTATTTAGTCACATCTAATGGCTTTTCAAGTTGAAGCTGCAGGTAATTAAATCAACGCCATGTTTCCACTTACCGTTTTGTTGTCTTTTTCTGTGCTTGTGCCTCGATAGCAACTTCATTCTGGTTTCGAACATTAAACCATCAGACATAAACCCAACACCTCCTGCCTTTATGTCATTAGGAGGAATACTATAGCGTGCGATTCAATTTAATCTTTCCATTTTACGAAAAGTAAACTCTCCAAAAGTGTTAGTTTCACAAACTATCATAGTACACCATCAGTGTCAAGAAATCACAATATACACGAATAATGTGACATTTAAAATAAAAACGCGAAATCTAAACTAAAGGCAAAATGAATTTGTAAAGAAGAAATAGTTGGGGGTACTTACAAGATTTCCTTCATAGCATGTGTATGCATCTCTGAAACGCCATTGATAATATGAGAGCCAATGATGCAGAGATGAGCGGAAATGAACATTTCATGTCCAGTATCCGATTGAAATACAGACATTTTCTTCGCTTTCTCCTTGTCATCTGGATATTTGTCAATTAGCATCTACCGAAACAGATAATACTTTTTTCTCCCATTGTTTATAAGTTATTGATAAAGTGGAATAATTTTTTCTTCATTCCCGATTTTATTATTTTCTTTTTTTCAAATAATGCGCATTAAACATTCAAGTGTTATACAGAAAAGTAGATTTGAATATTTTTGGACATCTGACCGTATCACTGATTCCAGTCGGAAGAATCACTTTAACCACCCAATCAGATTGGACTTAACAAATAAAATGATCTTCCTAATAACCAACTGCAAACAGCAACTTTTTGCAAATTGAGAGTACTTTATACTGCTATTTTCACTCGCGATACGTTAACACTAACCCCTCGCTTTTCCCATTTCCAAATTTTCATTCCAGTTCTTCTCCCCGTTCCTGCACAGCTATCCAATATGACAAAAACACACCTTTTTCTTATAAGCATTAAGAAATAACAACACATATTTAAGTAATAATTCGAAGACTAGTCTATTGAACTTCAAAAGCATTTCTTACAGATGGAATTTATGCTACTTTAAGCCCTTTAATAGCGATCTTGAATATTATTTTGGCAAAATATTAACTCCTTCAATGACTTACATCAATGAAATCCTGGTTAATTTTGTAGATGATCTCAAGGTGCCTAGGCAACAAACTTCGCAGTAGACTCACTGGCCAACGCTCTTGTGTTGTTGGCAGCACCGTTTGACTAGTAAAGGATATGCACTGCTGAACTATTTTCCATGCCTATAGAATAATTAAATAACAGTAATGATATACCTCCTTGAAGAAAAGTAATTAAAATTCCAACGCTTTAGCTGATGTTAGTGTTTAATGAGTTGTGAGGATAAATTTGACTAAGAGAGGGGCAAATGAATGTATGTTTGTCAACAGAGGACCTCTAGGTAGCTTCATTTACCGCCAAACTATGAGTTGAAACGCACTTTTATTCCATAGTTTTAACATTTATTTAATTTAAAGAATTTTATTTGCTGAGGTTTGGTCGCTTTTCAGTAGCTTGAAGAGATTATCAACTAAAGTATGTTGAACTTGGAATGCGATTTAATTTTAATATTTTTTAAAATTTCATGAAAAAATCTTGCGTTTTTACGAGAGTATTAGAGACAAAATAAAATTCACAAGCGACGAATTACACAAAAATAAAATTTCAAAATTTTCAATACACTCACCTCATCCCATCCTACTCCTTCAACATCAACCAACAGCCTCATCATTTCTGGAATGGCCAAGGCAAGATGGCTGTCATTTAGATGGATCACAATTTTATCTGGAAGTTCCCTGAAATCCTGTCTTCTCGGTCCATTTTCATCAATCAGCTGAAAACGCCTCAAAATATCTTGACAGGACGCTGATACAAGGAGATATTCCTGCTTCAAACGAAGCTTCTTTCCTTCAATTGTGTGGTCATAGGGATAGAGCATGGTTGTAATATTTTCACACATATTCCTCTTTAAGACGGCCTAAATAATAAGGTAAAATAAAAATTTTAGATCTAACTTCAATAAAACTCCCGGTATTGTACGACGGAAGGTCAAAAGTTTTCGGTGCTTTGCAACCCCAAAGTCGAAGAGTGCAGCAAACATTACACCGATAACCAGGAATTGGCATATCATAAGGTACAGCATAGACCATTTCTGCGTCAGTCCAAACTCTGCGTCCACCATGAATTTCAACCCTTCCACGATACTTCACGGGATATGAAATTCCCTGTCGAACGCGTTCCCAGGGATTTCCAAAGCATAACCAGTCGTCAGGCTCTTCGTACTGTAAATACACCATTGACTTAAGAGCAGAAAATTTGGGGTACCTGCCAACTGTTGATGATTTTCTGTTGAAATACTCCATAATTATATCTAATCCCATAACCTGTTGCAGCAACACCGAGATTTGCCATCGAATCCATGAAACACGCTGCTAAACGGCCAAGACCTCCATTCCCTAAACCCACATCCGGTTCGCAGTCTTCTACCTCTTCCATATTTATTCCCATCTAGTTAAATATCATTAAGTGAACAAACGTTACGTTGCTCAAGCACTCGTAAATCGGCTGGCTAAAACCGAGATTCATAATTGCATTACCCAAAGTTCGTCCCATAAGATATTCCATTGATAAAAAGAACACCCTCTGATATAAGTTAAATTATTAAAATCAAACCTTAGGGTCTTTTTTACGGAACATCTGCTTAGAACGAAGCCATCTTAAACTAAGGCGCTCCCATAGGGTATTGGATAAGGCAAAATAATAGTCTCTCATAGTAGCGGTTAGAGAATCTTTTGATAAAGTGATATGAAGATGCGTATTTATGGCATTGCTCAAACAGGTCGCAGATTCGCATCCTTTAGTATCAAATAATCTATCCTTATTAGAAATGTAAGACATTTTAATCGTATTTTTAGGACAATATGTTACCGCTTATTAAAATTAATTTTGCAGACCTAAACAAATTCAAGGTAATTTTTTACGTTAATAAACTCTTTAAATATTAATTCCTTACTTTCACTTGGCGTTGTTATTTTAATTATTCCAATGAGATAAACTATGTGAAAATCCTAATTTGTTGAAACATAAAAGTACTTTTATTATCGAAAGTACAGTTTATTTCTTGAAATATGAAAGTAAATAGTAAATGCGCAAAAATCGTACATCACTTTGGATGTTTTTAAAGTAATTTTAAGATGTAAGGTATGATTTCCTCTCTTTCAGTATTATACGGGAAGTAAATTTTCTAAGATCCACTCTGGGATTAGCCTTTGGCCTTATATCAATTAATTGCTAAGAATATCGCCGTCAAATATTATCGAAATGGTCGTTGAATATGATTTTACTAGTTTATCAACCTTTACACAATTCTCGTAAGTATTTCTGTGAAAACATAGTACCTAGTTTGAGGAAAGGAAAAGAATTTAAAAATATTTGATAATGATAATTGAGATAATCTTGTCGCTTCATTTTACAAATTGGCAATTTTTACTTGAGATTATTTCAATAGTGGTTGTAAATTGCAAATTGCATATATCAAAATGTTGATACAAAACGCATTGGTTGATATTGTCGGGCTGTGTTAACAACGACGCAGTTACCACATGTCGGTTACCCAAACCTACGTAGTTCATAGCAATAACATTCCTTTTTTATATTGCTTCATTTAAAAGAAGTCCCTTAGTAAATTTTTTTGTTCAATGTTTCTATTATGATGAAAGTTTCTTTTGGTGTCCTGAATAAAAGAGATCATGTCAAGAGCCTCGGGTAATGATTAATGCAAACAAATGCTTACTTAAATCGTACTACGTGGAACATAATTATTTATTGACCAATCATTTCTGCGTGGGGAAGCATATTGATAAATGCAGCAGCCTTCAACCACCAAGAGATGTTACAGAGGTAAGTAGATATTTTAATTCTACCTACTGTTATATTAACAGTATAGGGTGTGCGATAGACTTACCTCCACGTGGTGCACCCTGGGCAACGTATACTCATACGGGAAAAATGTCTATTAACTGGCGGTTGACTTCTCACTTCAAACTACCATCACACCACTGCATGTCATATTCGACTACTTCTACAGTACTCACCTCACCTTTTACTACCTTTTCTACCTTCGTCTTTGAAACAATCTTCTGTTCCCTCCCCCTCCCCCTCTCTACTTTTCTCACTTTGATGTTCCTTCCTCTGTGAAGCCCGAAGTCAACTAAAGGGCTAATGATAACTATCAAAACGCCTGCCATTTGATATAAATAAATAAATATTAACAGTATCAACCCCACAGAGGATGATGCAAAACGAGTTAAGCATTTTTGGAGTTAACCTTGAAATGCAGTTTGTACTAGAAAATGCCGATCTCTTCTTCCGGGTTAACACATTTGAGTGTTGAAACAGTACTTTACTTCATGCCACATCTTCTCTGTAATACGTTATCTTTTGTCTCACCTTTAATAAGCGACAATGGTAATAACTAAGATAGCATAACAAGTGCTTGTGAGCTCAGCAAATATACAATTAAAGCACGATTAATATTCCTGTTGTTATCACATGTGA